TTTATATATACGTATTGGGTTAATTTTCTATATTAATTATTATTCTATGACAACGTTCCACTGCTGAGTCTAGGGTACTCAATGAAACGTTACGGAGTTTTGTCAGCCCTAGAAATTCTCCTAGAAATCACTTCTCTCTTAGAGAGCACTTCATATATGATTTAATGATTGGGAACCAAGAAATTTGAAGAAAACACTTCATGCAGGATTTATTGATTTGGGACCGTGTGACCGGGGTGTTTTCAAGGGTTTTTTGGAACATTCTAGAACATTCGGTGAGGAGACGAAGCGGGGAAGGAAGGTGTGATGCTAAGGGTACTGAAATCATGAGTGAGTGGGGCCCAAGACGTGATCGACAGCACCTGAAAAATTGGAAGGCTGGGTCTCAAATCGCGGTTGATTTTAGTAACAAAGAGAAGCTTGTGTGAAAATCTAAGTTTTAGTGTCGTTCGCGCTAATAGATAAAATCTAGTATAATAATTGTAGTTTAATTTAGGGTTTAAGCCGTTAGACATTTAGGAGACGTCGCGTGTGAAATTTAAGGAATTGTTATTTTCGGGTGATTTAGCGAGAGATCGGGAATGCGTGTCTAATACTTTATTAGGGCATTCGTACTGAATTTGTTTATAAATAATCTAGTATTTAGGAAACGCCGCGAGTTAGTCTATATAGTGCTTAAATTTGTAACCATAGGTAGATTACTGCTTTAGCGCGCGAGTTATACAGTATTAAGACCCCAATTCGAATCTAGAAGTGATTTAGGTCTTCAGCCGTGTATAAAATACTTTTGTTAGGACATTAATGTTCGTAAAGCGCGTGTGATAGGGTTAAGACTGTAATCCGAATCTAGAATAGATTTAGGCCTTCAGCTGTGTATATAATATTTTGTTAGGACATTAATAATATAGTTGTGCAATAATATAGTCCTCAGGAAGCGTCGTGTGTTAATTTATATAATATTTACGTTTGATAGTTAGAGTCAGTGTCCGCGAGCGCGTGTGTGAGACAGTGTTAATAAGACTTTAATTCAAATCTGGAGCTGATATGGGTCTTCAGTTCCTGGTCTATGTTCCTGGCAGATTTCCTTGTAGGTGCAGCCTTCTAGATGTCTTGTAATAGGTGAGAGGTCACCTCCCGGGTATGTGATTTGCATTTACTATGATAGGATACCTACTTATTTTGGGTATCTATCGTTGAGATTTGTTTACGTTTTTTTTTTTAACAGTTTTACGTGCGTTGTGTATTCTTTTTGATACATTCTAATATAATATTGCGAAACCTTATTCGACTGATATTCTTTTATTAGTTGAATGAACAGTTACTGAAAAATAACTTAAATTATCTAGCAAACACTAAACTTTGATTTTGTTTAACAATGAGATAAAATTGTACTTTATAACATTTTTATAGAGTATTTATATTGTTTTGAAGTTATCAAATTATTTCGTATATCTAACTTTGACCTTTATTGTCACATTTTAATTATAATAATGGCATTTTGCTACGTTGAATTTATTATTTATTACTTCAACTAAACTATAAAATATAGTTTTCATTTAATTTAGTTTTATTCAATCAATTAATTTTAATGTAGAGTTCACAGTAGTTAGGACACCTGGAGTAATTGCAAATTTATAGATTACACGCACATTCTGAAGGTGTCCATACATTAAGCAATGTTGTTTTATTTAATTATAAGGTAAGGTAAACTGTGACAACTTGGTACAATATACTTGATCAATGTATTGTACGAAGGATAACAGTAGCGGTTTATTATATCTTTCTACTTGGGTATTATCAGTATTGGTTTAAGGTATCTAAGGTGAGGTAAAATTATTTATTAAAGATATATTAATACGTAATATTGTGTATTTAATTTCATGCCCTTTCTGCTAAATTAGTGGACATCTGCAGAATGGAATTAGAAAACCAATGAAGTTTGATTGATTTATTATCTTAGGCTGATATTTGGCATATTTATTACAAATTATAAAATCTTGTCTTGTCAAATTAAAAGCCTTTGTGGAAGATGATACTAAGTTATTTGCGATGATGTTGGATCACCTGTGTTCCTTCCATCGCCCTGTCAGATTTATGCCTTGATATCTATGTATATCTCGTTTATGTCTGATTAGCGTATTCCTAGAGCTAGCCGATAATTAATAGAAGTACCTACTACAATACACAGTGACAGTGTTCATGATCTTATATGGATGGTCTTTCCATTTCCATAAAGATTTAGGACCTCGAGTGTATAAGTTGCTACTGAGATAATTAGCCGCGTGGTCGGATTGGTTGGTATTTAACTTAGGCTTCTGTAAGTTAATACTAGATTAACTTTCAGTGCTTGGTGAACACTAACCCAACTTAGGTAAGTCTACTACCAAGGCTTATCGGATAGCGAAATTATATTTCAAATGCTGAATTATCACCTATGTGATTATGGTATATATTATAATTAATTGATTTCTTCTCTACTTGCTGTACTCAAGGTGTATAATAGGGATTCTTATTAGTAAAGACTAGGCAGGGTTATGAGGTGGGCCTATTCTTCTTCCTTTACCTTTATCCTCGGTCTTCTTGTTTCTTTACTTATATAAACCATGTGTAAAACTAGTTTACATTAATGGATATTATTTCTCTTCTTGCATCAATTAGTTACTCTCAATCCTGTCCCCGGATATCTCCGGATTTCTATGTATTTATACTTGAGTTTAAATGACATCGCTGTATTTTGTGAGCGGAGCTATGACACTATTAACAGTTTCATATCTACTAATTACAATAAGGTATAACAAATACTTTTATTGTTCTACAACGTTCCTGATTGATTGTTCCTGTTAAGATACCCATTCTCGTGAAAGACCGAGATGTGGTACACTAAACAATACTTCTGATTGCCGCTGCATCATCAATGTACTGGTTTGCATAGACTTACTAGTATTGCAGACTATATTGTGCTCGCCTGGGTTGACACAATATGAGTAGCAACATGCTCTCCCTGTCTGCTGGACCTTGTGGGCTATATTGTATTCGTTGAGACGATACATACAATGTTACAGTCTACAGTTCCAGAGCCGGCTCCAAT